AAAAAAAAAAAAAAAAAAAAAAAAGAATTTACTCAGCCTCTGGGGAATAAGGAACACCAAGGGAATAGTCGCTCTTGAAACCAGATGACTTTACATTTTTATCAGTTTAGAATAAAAGTTAGGAGCAACATGAGCAAATCTAGGTTTCTTCCAAACAAGTCTGATCTTCCCATCTCTCAAGGCAGCTGCTGACTACCCTTGAGACGACATGGGACTCTTCAAGTACATTACCCCGACTTTGCCTCAGGAGAAACCTGTTAAAGTCTCTGAGAGTTCTGCCCCCATAAAGCCACTTCTTGACTTTGTCCAACGTAACTGAACACCTGTTATCTGTAGAGGCACTGGTTTGCTACAAGATAAAGCATACAGAGTTGTCCTTCATGGGACATTCCTGTTTACACAAGTGTATAATGATTACTATTGCCCATTGTATATTCTGTTCTTTGACATGGTGAAAATTTACAAAGTGGGTACCAGAAAGAAGCCACAGTCTTCAGAGCAGTTAGAGAAGAAATCTGGCAAAAAAAAAAAAAAAAAAAAAGAAAAAATCTACCCAGAGGGAGTCACTAATTAATTTTTTTATCCTTAAGAATACTAGAGATATTTTTTCCCAAGAGTAAGATTTTCTGAATGTAAGAACAAATATTAGAAATAGGGTACAGGCTGGGCACGGTGCCTCACGCCTATAATCCCAGCACTTTGGGAGGCCAAGGCAGGCAGATCTCCTGAGATCAGAAGTTTGAGACCAGCCTGGGCAACATGGTGAAACCCCGTCTACACTAGAAATACAAAAATTAGCTAGGCGTGGTGGCACACACCTGTAATCCCATACTTGGGAGGCTGAGAGAGGAGAACTGATTGAACCTGGGAGGCAGAGGTTGCAGTGAGCCAGGACTGCACTGCTGCACTCCAGCCTGGGTAACACAGCGAGACAATCTCAAAACAAACAAATAAAACAATAACAACAAAAAGAAATAGGGAACAGTATGCAGTCATGTAAACTCAGCCAAAGCAGAATGTCACCACCTGTGAGTACCACAGGATCACTTTTTTTTTGAGACGGAGTTTCGCTCTGTCACCCAGGTTGGAGTGCAGTGGTGTGATCTCAGCTCAGTGAAACCTCTGCCTCGTGGGTTCAAGTGATTCTCCTGCCTCGGCCTCCCAAGTAGCTGGGACCTACAGGTGCCCACCATGACACCTGGCTAATTTTTTAATTTTTAGTAGAGATGGGATTTCATCATATTGGCCAGGCTGGTCTAGAACTCCTGACCTTGTGATCCGCTGGTCTCGGCCTCCCAAAATGCTGGGATGACAGGCGTGAGCCACCGCGCTTAGCCAGGATCACTTTTTTTTTAAAGCAATATTTTTTTTTCTATTTCAAACTATTACCAAAAGCCCTCGACAAAGGCATACCAGTGTACAACTGGTGTATCTGGTTTAACATTATCTATTCCAAGAGACCCAGATGGCTCTAGGCAAATATAGCTGGGTGCTGAAATCAAAGCTTCACCCATAGATCAAAATTAAGTTACTAGAAAAAAATCAGTCTTTCCAGTGTCCTTCATTCCCAAGGACATTCCTTAATATGTTTCATATTTCAGTTCAATATTTCATGCTAGTTTTGACATCCCAACCAAGGTGATGTTGAGTTCATAACAAACCCAATCTCATGATAGATTTCTGAACCTTGGTAGGAGTGATAATAAAACATTTCAGCACCAAATGGTCAATTATTTTTTTTATCCAAGTATCTCTTCCATGATGGCATTTTGCTGATGCTTTTCAACATCTATTTATTAATAATCGGATCGGCATAGCTAAAGATAATTAAAATTACTCTAGATAATGGTCTGCATATTCCAAAGGTATTTATCATCATCTCTTTACATGACTGGGAACAAGATGAAACATTTTCAGATGAAGCTCCAGGAAGGTTTTTTTTTTTTTTTTTTTTTTTTTTTTTTTAGTCTTGCTGTTACCCAGGCTGGTATGCAGTGGTGTAATCTCGGCTCACCACAACCTCTGCCTTCCAGGTTCAAGTGATTCTCCTGCCTCAGCCTCCTGAGTAGCTGGGATTACAGGCATGAACCACCACGCCCAGTTAATGTTTGTATTTTTAGTAGAGATGGGGTTTCTCCATGTTGACTGGGCTGGTCTTGATCTCCTGACCTCATGATCTGCCTGCCTCGGCTTCCCAAAGTGCTAGGATTACAGGTGTGAGCCACTGCGCCCGGCCCCATGAGGTTTATATTTAACAATTTTATGTACCAAATGGCCATAAAAATAAGATGGAATATAAATACGGCTTCAATCGGTATTAGTGGAGAAATAGGATTTAAATATGATTTAATAGCTTCCTATTACTCAGACAGAATTGTCATTAGTTTCAGAAGACAAAGTATGGAATTTGGTGGGCAACAGCTGACACACGGCATGGTTAAAAAGCAGAGCCTGTGTACAAGCAGGGGAGCAGATGGACGCAATGCTTTTAGCGCATCAAAAGGCAAAAATTGCTTTGAAATCATGTCCATTGGAAATCATTAACTTTTTTCTGTAAGCTCAGCTCCTGTTATCCCCTTGCCCCACATTTTTTTAAAAAACTAAAATACTAGCTGAGACTTTGTCCTTGAAGGTATACCAGATAGATGGCATCCAGGGATTTTTAGTAAGCAATCCATTTTATAAAGATGATGGCTCTGAACGTACGAGGAGAAGATTCAATGGTTCCCTTTTCAGAGCTCTATCAAGGCATTTGCATGACTAGGAAGCCAGCCAGTGCCCTGGAAAAAGTTAACAACTTTCCAGGCCTGAACAACTGAATAGCTTATTATTCAATGACTTGACTTTGGCAGAATTCAGTTCAGTGTTCACATTTGGTATGCAAATACTATTCAGTATTGAAATGCACTTATGATGTACATCTCAATATCCTATGCAAAAGGAGTATCATGCTGAATTAATTCATTGAATCTAAGATGCCGCCAATTATGTCACCAAAAAAGAAAAAATGCTGCCACTTGTAATTGTGACATGCCATCAACTCTAACATGCATTCCATTTTTAAGATTGTTAAAACATGAAAAACAATGGCCGTGTTAAAACATGCTGAATGTCTAAAATGTGTACCATCCCTATTCTGTGTACTTTTCATGCGTAACACATTTAATCCTCATAAGTACCCTATGAGTGGGAACTTTCATGATACCCATTTGATAGGGGCACAAGGAAGTGAAATAACATGCCTTAACTGGCTGCTAAGGAGTTGACTTGGGATTCAAAGACACCTGGTTTGACTCTAGCGTTTACAGCCTTCATCCTTTCTCCATTCTGCCACGATCCTATAGATGATTAACTTGGAACAACAGCATAGATGGCCCTCACCTTTTGGAACAGAGCTGTGACAAGCAGGATCCCTTACAGCTGAGTTAAACCCAAGGAAGCACTGTGTTCGAAACCAGAATCCCCAACCTCCAGGCAGGAGGCCACGAGGCAGAGGGTCTGCTGCTTGTACCAGTGACCATCCTCTCTCCACTTAGGACAAGTGAACTCGAAAGCCCCTAGAGATATATCAACTCATGTCTGAGGAAGCCTCTGGATGCTGAAAAATGAATAGGGACTACGGACTTCAGAAACGTGAAAACTTGGTACTTTCCCTCCAAAAGGACACCCCAAATTGCACTGAGTCCCCCATTGTGGATCTCTAAGAGTTCAACTCTGAAGTGGTTCCCATGAGGCATAACTGAAGTGAAAGAGAAAACAGAAATATGGTTTATGAAGCATTTGACATGAAGCATCTCACGGAATCCTCCCCATTCTCTCTGAAGTGGGTGCGATTTTCCCCTTTACACAGCTGGGGAAGTTCAGAACAGCAAAGTCTCGTTATCACTCGGCTGCAGAGCCCTGCTTTGGAC